AATTTCGTACCTATTTTTATCATACGCTGCCCCATTACAGCAAGCGCTTTACACGCTCCCGCGGTGAAAAACACGAAGTGTTTTTCACCGTAGGAGCGTGAGATCGCAACATAGAACAAGCATACCTTCTCGGCCTTTTGGCTAAGATCAAGTGTAGTATCTGTTCTAATCAGTGTGAAAACTGATTTCCACACTTCGGTGTGGTTTTTTTTCACATTCATTTTTACAACTTCCGATAGTCCAGTTGGCTTGCCACTGACTATTGGACTGGTTTCCGAGGGCCCAGCACTCCTCCCTTGTGAAGCCTAACTACTACACTCACTCTCAATCCTTTCACAACACACAATCGTCTACTCCCTATGTTTGTACCCCTCCAGCGCAAAGCGCTGCTGACGAGCGAAGCGAGTCAAGGCGCACGCAGTGCGCCTATCGATCTTGCGCGCAGCGCTGCACGGCGAAGCCGTGCCCAAGGGCGGGGCTCTTGCGCGAAGCGCTGCTTGGCGAAGCTGCGCACCAAATGGCGCTGCTGCGACTTGGAATGCCCCACACTTCGGTAACGTGCGAAAATGGCGAAAATGGGATTGGTGCGCTTAGTAGTTTTCACTGCGTCTGGGGTGCATACCGTGAGTTACTATGTGTTTTGGCTTATTAAGTAACTGAGACCGTTCTTCGTGCTGAGGCTAGACTAGGTGGCACTAAAGTTGCATGTTGGCTGGACCTGGACGAATGTCGTTGTCGGTCTCGTTGAGCGCGTCAAGTTCCTCGGTTTGGTAGCGCGGGATTGACCGTGGTAGCGCGATGGCGCTGAAAATGCTGTCGTTGGTGGCTTGGACCGCCGAGTCCGTGGCAACTTCGCACACACATGGCAACGAACGTCGTGATTCGTACCTTCTTGGAGAGCGGATGATCGTGAGGCGTGTAGAGGAGGAGGGAGCGGTCAGAGGGGAGTAAGGGTGATAGGACTGGTGTGAGCGCAGGTTAGAAATAGCTTACGTGTGCATGCACCGCGATCTCGTCGTCCAACAAGATGAAGGCGACCCAGAAATCCTCAACATGAAATACGAATCCGTGATCCAGTGATCTGGCTTCGTGCGCGCTGCGCTCCAAATCCCGTTCTTCCGTTCAGCAAGAAGGTTCTAATCACGACGTTCATCGCCATTTTGCGCGAAGTTGCCACGAACGTGGTGGCCGTGGTGCATCATCCACAGCTTCTGCACTCAATTTTTGCTCAAGTTCGAAAAGGTGTATCCGGAAAAAATGCCAAGATGTGTAGAAACGAATGTAATTTGTTCTGAAAATAAGTGTGAAATCGCGCTTTTACACATTATTTGTATGTTACCACACTCAAATTTCGCTAAAGGCGAGAAGGCGTGTCCGGATAAATCGCCGTCATGTGTAGAAATGAATGTGAAAAGTACCACAAATTCGTGTGAAATGGCGTTCTTACACATTGTTTCACGAATACCACACCCAAATTTCGCTAAAAGGCGAGAAGTTGAATCCGGATAAGCAGATTCGAAAAACCCATGTTGCCGCTCCAAGCTGGCGCGCCAACAAAGCACTCTTGACTTGTTAGGGCGCGAGATTTGCACAATCCAATGTCGTTTTCTTACCCGAGGCCGCTCGTCGATTCACTTGATCGTCCGCGCCTTCCTTGAACACTCTTCTCACACCGTCAAACCGCGACGACTGTGTTGCTCCTGGAATAACATCCTCGACACGTCGAGATGCTAGTACAGGCCGTGCGATCGCCAAACTTCCAAGCGGACGCAAAGCCGAGACGGTACAGTTAATGAGAGCGTGTATAGCTTTTCATACTTGGTATAAATACAGAAACATGCAATCGATCACGTTGCAATGGCCACAACGGGTGGCGACGTGAGCGAGATGACATTGGCGCGTACGTCGTCGATGCCGGCAAGCTCCAACGCAATGCTAATGTCGCCAACATGTACACCGTTGTGCAGGACGGGGACCCAATTGTGGTAAATATCGTCGGTTGCGAGCGCCGACGCAAGCGCATCGAGGTCGATACGGGCCTTGCCAATGGAGCGGTCGGGCAAAACGTGCATGGCATTCTTGATGTGCACAGAGAGCGTCAGGCCCGACGGAATTGTCTCGGGCACCGAGAGCAAGAACGAGGCATTCCACCACGGGTTGGAGCCGCCGTGGTGGTGGACCTCGGTTGTCGCGTCAAAGATGTTGGCGATGTTCACATGGCAGTACGGGTCTTGCGCGCCAAGGAGCTGCGTACGCTTGAGGTTGCGCGCTTCGCGAAGCGTGAGAATGAGCTCCATTCGTGGTGTGCGTCCTCGAGGGGCAGAGATCGAATGCAGGACGTCAAGCAGCCTTGCCGTACGCGGGAGCAATTGGGACACGCATTCAAAAATATTTGAATCGTTGTCGACTCGCGTTGGACTTCTCGCAAATGGTCGATGGACAGGCAAGCAGCTGTGAGTAATACGGGACGACCACACACCGGTTTTGCGTGATCACAATTTGCCCTCGTCGCTGGCCCAGGCCCAGAGAGTGCGGAATCAAAACATTGTGATCATCACCGCCGACGAGCGGCGTCATCGCCATCGACAGCGTGGTGATGATGAAAGTGATGGCCGCGGTAAGCAAGCACCGTCAAGAGGGTTGTACAGCGTGAAGACCGCAAGCGACATGGACGGGTCATCGGTCGCGTTCATGTCCGGCATCCATCTTGGGACGACGCTCTCGGACGACCGAGAGCATCCTGGCACATTTTGTTCAAAAAGGATTCGGGATACATTAAATATACCAAGGACGACGCTTGCGACAAGAGCACGGGTCGTGCATCAATACGACGAGACAAAGATCGATGGTGCGCGCACCTATGAAGCTGGGAGCCTCACGACATGGCCAAAAACGTGTTGGCGCAGAAAGATGCTGACCTGAGCAGCTGTCTCTGCTCTTCTGGCAATTTCCAAACAGGCGAGTGCATGAAAATGATGGTTCGACGCGCACTCTCGCACTGAGTGCCATGCACACAGCGTCAAACTCAAGCCACGCGCCGGCAGCCTCTGCATGTGGGTGTCACCGCGTTGCAATGGTGGTTTCTCCTGCCTCAGACCTGCAGTCGCCACGTGTGTTGTTCTGGGAAGGTTCACGTGTGGCACGTTCTCGCCACGGGCGTCGGGCTGCACCCGTGTTGGGCAGTGCGCCACCAAGTGCACGGCAGCGATGTCTTCAATGCGCATCGCATCAGGTTCCGTCTTGGGCACCATGTTGGGTGCATCGATGGCATTGATGCACACGGTCGATCTCACGACGTTGCATGCGCCGTTGCGACCACGCAGGAAGAGTATACATTACACGATTAATACACGCAGCGGTAGACGATTTGGACGGGCGGCTGCGGCGGCGGCGGGCCACGCGTGATCAAAATCGCGCCAAACTGGCTTGCTTCGCGCGAAAAGTACGAAGTTGTCTGCGCCATGACGTAGCTCCAGCGCACCTCGTACACCTCGTCGCGAACATTCATGTAGTTGACGGTCTCGACAAAGCCCGATTGGATGTTGCGGAAGACGGCCCTGGCGCCAAGACCGACGAGGCAAGCTAGGAGCACGACCGCAATCGCAATGTAGGGAAAGACGCGGCCAAAGACGCTGCCATAGAGGCGCCGGTCGAGCGCCGACTGCGTGCTGCCGAGCGCGATGAGCACGATGACGGACCCGATGAGGCACGTGAGCAGCAATAGCATGGGCAAGTGCACCAAGAGAAAAATGCGTTTGTAGACGCGCTTTGAGTACGCTTCAAATTGCGTGTTGAGCTCCATGAGGCGCTGCTGCAGCATCTCTTGCGTGAAGCGGTCGTCCGTGATACCGCCGCCGTTCGCGACCATGACGCGCCACTCCTCGGCGTGCTCGAGCGGGTTGCACGAACGGTTCTTTGTATACGGGCGGAGCACGAGCTGTGGCATTTCAAATTGGGTTATGCCATCAACATCACAACAACACGCTAATACGTATGCGTAGAATGGACAGACCAGTGTCCAACGCGTGTCCAGTATCATCAGCCCATACCTATACGGACTTCCTCGGCTGGCTTCCTCATACTTCTAGAATATTTCAAAATTCGCTATGTCGTTTTATGGATCCTGGGTATACGTGGTTCAACGCTGCGGCATGCCCAGCTGTCCATTTCTTCCGCACGAGGTCTCATGTACCATTGTACCCCGTTGCTTGACCAAGTAGATAGCGTACGTCTGGCGAAACGTCATGATAGCGTCTTTCGCAGCTGGCATAATCTGAGCTGCGCACGCTCGTGCGAGCAAGAGACCACGACGTTGCAGCTCGACCTTGCACGGGTTGCGAGCAGGCTGGGTTGCGAGCGTGTTGATGCTTGAGTTGGTTCATGGGTGTCGACTTCATTTCGGACTTTGCCGAATTCAATGCAGAATCCAGGACTTTGCCGCCATTCAAATCGGACCGTGCCGAAACGGCGCGGGCCAATCCAAAGCGGCGAATTCACCGTGGTCATCATGGTGGGGACCGTCGACGTGCTGGTCGGCGCGACCTTTGCCGCCGATGCGCTCTACTCACGCATACCGTTCGTCTTTCAAAACGTAGGTATCATGAAGCAAAGGATTCATACTGACGTTGGTGCAGGCGCTGCCGTCCGTCACGGCGACCTTGCAGTGGATGCCGTACGGCCAGTGGCGCGTGCTCCTGCCGCGCCCGCATGTACACACCCATCGCCACTGCATGACCCTGCTCTTTCTGCGCACGTGCGATGTCCAGTACGACCACCCCGAGCTGCGCCAAGCAGGACCTGCGCCGTCGACGACTGACCGCATGGACGAGGCGCTTGCGCTGCTGGCGTCGCACATGGCGCTCAATCCCTCTCGGCACCTCGTTGTCGTGCTCTGCCCATCACCGCCCGATACGATACCATGTAGCGCCAATGACGATGACTATTTGCGCGCTCACATGCCAGCACACGCCACGCTTGTGTCCGACCTCCGTGCGGTCTACGGCGCCAACGATACCTTTTACAATGCAACCTTGGGTACACTGACGCTAACATATACCGTGACCAAGATGGCGTAGACCTCGCCATGCACAACCCGTACACGCACTGGATGAATAACCTCTTGGCGCTGCAGGCCGCGCGGCAAATCTGCCGCGTTTTTCGTGGACCCAAAAAGGTCGGTGCTAAATCGTCCAATTGTCCCTTCATCGATTCGACTAAACCCTCTCAACTAAATCCTCTTTCATGCTAGGTGCTGATCCTCGACTGCGACCACACATTATGGTCCGGCGCGATTGCCGAAGACGGTACTCAGCCGCTACATCCACGATCATTGAAGAAGTGCGTAGGACTGGCACAAATCGCTATCACGAATGCCCATGCTGCGTTTCAGAGATTTCTCATCGAGCGATATGCCCACGGGACGCTTCTCTGTCTTTGCAGCAAGAACATCTCTGCGGACGTAAACACCGTGCTTCAACAACACCCCGACATGGTCACTTGCCGTCCTCCTCGATGATGTCACTCCGAATGGCCACGTAGCTTCTCGATCTTAACACGCACATCGTATCCAGTCGCATCAACCACGAGCCCAAAGCTGATAACATCATCGCGATGCTGCATGAGCTCTCGCTGGGCATGGACAGCGCTGTCTTCTTTGACGACAATGCGCTCGAGTGTGCCGCGGTGCGCGCAGCGTGCCCGTCCCTTGCGGTGGTCCATGTCCCGCTCGTGCCCAAGCTAACACCCAACGTACGAGTTGCCCTATCTCGATAGCATGGAAGACACGATGTCGTGGCTAGTTTGCGGCGACTGTATGGGCGCTCGACGCCAACTTTAGCGCGGTCGTCACGACAGCAGAAGACAAGGCGCGCACGGCCATGTACAAGCGGCAGTTGCAAGCAAAACGCACCAGCCAAGACGATACAAAGGTCCTTGCCGCCCTTGGCATGCACGTCGAAATGCAGACAGTGACGTCGACGACGCCGACGGCGACGCTAGAACGCATCGCGCAGCTCTGCCAGCGCACCAATCAGTTCAATCTCCAAACAACAGCAACGCGAACGTACACCACTGTGGTACGCCCATCCCAAAGAACCAACAAATTGCGTCATACCGCGTCTAGGAGCAACTGCAAGAACTTGCAACGACCGCCACGATTCTGTACGTGTCAGTCACGGACAAGTACGGGCACTACGGGCTTGTCGGCGTCGCCGCCTGGAGATGCACCGACACGACGGTCCATATCTCTCTTCTCTTGCTGAGCTGCAGAGTACTCAACCGGCGCGTCGAACACGCCATGGTGCAGCGCATCGCTAGCGACAACCCATGCAAACGTCTGATTCTTGTCCTCGAACCCACGATTCGCAACGGTGCGTGGTCATCGTATTCTATCATTGTATCAAGTGACTTATTAACTTTTTCAAAACGCTTTAGCGCCGATCCGGATGTTCTTGACGCAGCTGACCAACAGCGTGGGAGTTGAAGACCCGGAGACGCGCCACGTACTGTACGAGGCCGCGTGCAACGACGTGTGCGCCATTTATGACGAGGCGCCGATCGTGCAGCAGACGCTTCCGGCGTCAACCGAGTCGCTCGTCGAACGCGCCGGCGAGGCTGGGTGTCCGACCGTGCCGCTGCATTGCCTCGCCGACGTCACTTCGTTCTTTGCGCCCTTGGCAGTGGCCGATGCGTTGTCGTCGCTCGAGACCCAAGCCGCCAACGTGGCCAAGTTTCGGCGGCTTCAGCGCGAAGCTGTCAAGCTGCAAGTCGAGCACGACACGCCGATCTGGACGACCAACAACATTACCGAGCGCCAGCAGTGTCGGCAGCCAGGCTGCGCCCAGGAAATTCCGCTCACGACGCAGTGCTCGTTCGTTCGGTGCCGGACGTGCTGCTACCAAACGCAAAAACTCCTTGAGCGCGCGAGTACCGGTGCCCACCCGCAGGCGCGGGCGACCGCGTCGGCTCTCTTGCGCACGGCTGGCGTTGAAGCGGGCACAGCTCCCACCTGCACAATGCACGTCAACCCACGCCGCGCCGCCAAGCGCAGCGAGACCGCATAGATCCCGTCGCCAACGGAGTGGGATGCGCTTCGAACCTGGCTTTGTGGGTGCTCAAATTCCTAAATTCCAAGTGGAGTCTTGCCACATACCAGCTGGTGGTTCTTGTCCAAGGCGCAGGCATCCTAGGTACATGGCGAGATGCATGGTGGTGCTCGTTGACAGCCACCTTGTATGCATACCATCCTGCGAGCGTTCCTTGCAAGCGCGTGCCGGCGTGAGCTGCGACACACCCTTTGCTCACGTAGTTTTTCACGTTGCGCACGTCGAGCACAATTCACACACCTACTTGCATCCAGTATGTGAAAAAGCCACGCGACGACGTGAGATATCCATGTGAAAAACGTCCAGCCAATGGCATCGCGCGAATTGATTACCTACGCGATTGGCGGCGCATGATTGGCTGATATGTTGCATGTGCTCCCAAACGGCAAACGCCCATTTTGCATTTTGCATTTTGCATTTGGTCATGGCCGTCGAGCTGCATGTGACGCTCATCGAAGCCCGTGGCCTCGCGCGGGCGCAGCTCTTTGGGACGCAGGACCCGTACTGCATTCTGACGCTGGGCACCCGCAGCGAGCGCACCGAGTACCACGACAACGGCGGCGCCGCGCCCTTTTGGAATGCCCCGTTTGTGTTTTCGTTCAAGACACATACCGACAAGGCCGTCCTCGACATTGACATTCGCAACGCCAATGCTGCCTTCTTGCCCGACAACAGCATCGGCTTTGTGAGCATCCGCATCGACTTGGCCTTATGGCGCGACCGCGAATTGCGTCAAGAGTGGCTGCCCGTCTACCGCAAGCAGGCCAAAGCCCGGACACCCAACGGCGCCAAGCCCGACGGCGGCGAGCTCAACGTGCGCATGGAAGTCTTGTACGACACGACGCTCGCGAGCCAGCCGTCGGTCGTCGTGCTCACCAAGCCGGTCGCAAAGCCGATGCTGGTGTCGCCGCCCAAGAGTCCGGTCGCCGCTTCGCCCACGAGTCGCCCGATGACACCGAGTCGTGTGGTGCCGCCGCCATCGCCGTCGAATGCCGTGCCGTCGTCACCGTCACACAGCGACTACCGCCAACACGACTGCCTCAAGCCCTTCGGAGGCTATTGGATCCCGCCCGAGCGCTGGACCCTCGACGTACACCCAATGCTGTCCTTTCTAGCGCATCTCATCCGGTGCGATGTAGAGATCGCACACTGCCAATGCCCTCCTTGTTGGCAACGTCGGCAAGGAGTCCGTGCTATTGCAGCTAGCGCTCTCGGTCGTCGACGTCACTTCGATTCTCTCGACGTACGCGACACTCCCCAAGGTCTTGACGCGTCGTTGGACAAGCCGTCGATAACCATTTTCTTCGTAGGACCACATGCTGCTGCGACTGCGAGGGTTTTCATTGCACGAGCACGCCTGGTGTGTTCTCTACGAGCATGCGGTGCCGCTGACACACGTGGCGGCCGAGCCGTGGTCCCGTGCGACGACTGCGGTGGCCATGGACATTGCGTCGGCCATGACGCAGCTGCACTTGGCCAAGGTGATCCACGGTGGGATTCGGCACACGGCCGTCTTCAAGGACGACAACGACCGCTACCGCTTGCACGGCTTTCCCAGCGCTCGGCCGACGACAGGCGACGCGGTGGACCTGCCGTGGTACAACATCTGACGCGCGATACGTCTCATGGTGCGTGATCTAGGGCTGCGCCAGACAGCTTGAATGACGGGGCGCTCACGCGCAAGACCGACGTGTATGCATTTGGCATTCTATTGGCCGAGCTCGCGCTCGGGGAAGCGGCACCATTTGCGGTCCGTCGTCGTTGCTCTCGGTCGCACGCACCAAATGCTCTGACATGTAGGCCCACAAGCGAGAGTCGCGCGATGTGTTTCTTGAGGCCGTGCTCGCGCAGACGTATACGCTCGAATCCGAGCTCGTCGAGGTCGTGCCGCCGCCAATGCTTTCGGTGGTACGGCAATGCGCATCTGCCCTAATGATCGTATGGATGCATGCCGACTAGATTCTCAAATGCACGACGCCTCTGATCACGAAGCGACCGACGAGCCTCGTTGTCGTCGACCTCGTTCGTGACGCGAAAGCGGCACTCTTTGCAGTGGTGCACACGTCGACGACGTAGCGTACGACGACGCTTAGATGTAGAATGTACTAGAGAAAATAGAAAAAATGACTGAAAATTCCTTGTGTGTTGATGCACTCGGTGCTGTGCATGCCACGTTGGACGGACAAACCGTCGAGACAAAATACGCAAACCGCCGCATGGGCACTTGAGAATCGACTACTTATACTGGTGGGGACCTAGCTGCACAAGCCCTGTCGCGATCAGCTCGCTCGGCGCGCACTGCAGTCTACGCTCCGCAGTACGAGTCCCAGTCGCTGCCAACGGTCGCAACGCAAAGGCTCAGTGGTGTTGAGAAGACATGTCTTGATTACTCCTCGCCGGTCAAAGACTAGACGGAGCCGCTCGTTTCGGTGTGGTAGCCAAAAATTGCGACTTGGCGGTTGAGCAGGGCAGCTTGAGAAGCAAGTGTAGATGCATCTAGGCATCAGCAACACGCAAAGAGCTAGACACCCTATTCCTCTACATGTATACGCATTGCCAGCATTGACACGCATGACGAACTACACAAAGCACACGTCGACGTGTTGAAAACCATTCCTGGCCGGACATGGCGCCACGTACACGCTCCGCATCTATTGCATACCTCTCACATTCGATCGACCCGACGCCACCCCATTCTTGACTGCATCGACTATCCATTGTTTGTATTTGAATAGACCAAGGGCGATGAAGAAGACCCTAGAAAAACACAGCGTCGATTCGGACTCTAGCGTCCACAGTGTAGTATACTGTACCGCATGTGTTGCGACGGCCAACACAGATGGTGCACCATATTTTCTGCGGTCGTCATGGCGCGGCCTGCGAGCCAATGCTTTTGTCAAATATACGCTTGCGTGGATTCGCACGGAATATATTCTAATCGCAGGAAAGGAGCTCTCGCGCGACCCAGAGAGGCTTGGCGCGCCGTCCAGAATCGTGCGTGTGCGGACTCTTGTCCGGATAGAAAACCTCGGAAAATACATATTTGCTTGTCTATGCGGATCTATTGAGTTTGGCGACGCCGGAGGAAGCCCGTAGATTTACATTTGCCTCGCGCTTGCCACCCCATCTTCATCATGTACCGCCGTATCGCTGCTCGCTTTGCGCCGCTCGGCGCTGCTGCGCTCCTCTCAACGGCCTCGCCCGCGCACCTCAAGGCCGCCCCGCCGGCGACGGAGGCGCAGGCCTACTCGTGGGGCTCGAACGCCTTTGGCCAGCTCGGCCACGGCCACGAGAACGACATCTCGGCGCCGCAAGCTATCAAGCTGCCGCACGCGGCCGGCGTCGCCTGCGGTGGCAACTCGTCCGCGGTCTTGACCGCCGATGGCCATGTCTACACGTTTGGCGCCGGCGGCAACGCACGTCTTGGCCACGGCGACGACATTGATACGCCCAACCAGTCGACGCCGCAGCTCCTCCAGCTCGTCGGAGACGTCGTCAAGCTCGAAATCGGTGAGTACCACATGGCTGCGCTCACAAAAGACCATCGCCTCTGGACGTGGGGTCGCCACGGCTGCCCGCAGATCGGCCACGAGTACGTAGACGCTCCAAGCCACAACGACATTGATGGCTCATGCATGGGCTCTGTAGCAATGCCAATCGCGGCTACCCGAATGAGATCAAGGAACTCAGCGGCAAGGTCAAGGACGTGGCGTGCGGCCGCCAGCAGACGGTCGTCGTGACCACGGACGGCGAGGTACACTTGCAGACGGCAATGGCATGGACATCACATGGAGGACTAGCTCTACGTCTGGGGCTACGCCCACGAAGGCGCGCTCGGCCTCGGGAACCGCGAACCCGTGTTCCGCCCCAAGAAGCTCGTCATCCCGAACGAGACGTTCGAAAGCGTCACATGCGGTCGCGGTATGGCATCCTCCATTTTGCTGCGTGCTTTCTAACGTCAAATCCTTAGAGCACACGTTTGCCGTCACGACGGACAAGAAGGTCTACAGCTGGGGCGCCAACGACAATGGCCAGCTCGGTGTCGCCGGCACGGTGCGCTACCAGCGGTCGCCGGTCCGCGTCACATCGCTCGATGGCCTCGGCGTCGTGCAAGTTGCGGCGGGCGACTACCACAGCGCGGCGCTGACGGCGTCCGGTGAAGTGTACACGTGGGGCAGCGGCCGCGACGGGCAGCTCGGCTTGGGCACGACCGACGACCGCAACATCCCGCGCAAGGTCACCGACCTCGACGGTGTCCGTATCGTTCATATTGCCTGCGGTGGCGGCCACACGGCGTGCGTTGCCGGTACGCCAAGTGCACATGTCGTCTGTCTCTGGCTCATTGCGCTCTGACTTAGAGGACGGCACGCTCTGGGTCTTTGGCCGTGGTCGTAGCGGACAGCTGGGCCGTGGCGACCACCTCGAGAGCATTGCCGCTGCCCGCAAGAGCCCGATTCAAGTGCGCCTGCCGCAGAAGGTGCACGCCGTGAGCTGTGGCAGCGACCACACGATGGCCTTGTAAGCCACGCCGTAGAGAACTCCCTTTGTGTGTCGTAGAATGCACGCTAGTGTATCGTTCGTTTTGCGTCTTTGCAAGTCGCAACAGCAAGTAGCCATGGACATGCTTGATTACGAGGACGCGTAGGCTGGCATAAGCGGCCTACGGTGCATCAAGCAGAGCGGCTGCAGTCGTGGCGGCTCCTGCTCGACCCGTGAACCATGAGATTCCTTGGGAGTCGAGCGATCATCATGCCACGGGCAACGGCTCGGTCATGGCAAGGCGAGAACATGGACGATGGTCATGCTCTTGCTTAGCGTCATCCACCACGAGGGCGTGCAAAGCCCGATGGCTTGTAGCGCGCCGTGCTCGTCGCACCTGTCAACGGGTTGTAGTCGTCGTGCTCGGAGCGGCGCGGGGGTGACGCAGGCTTGCGGACCTCCTTTTTCTTTACGGCAGCCGCTTCTTTGTGGGCTTTGCTCTAGCCTTCACACATGAGCGGCGTGGACGAGTATTGGATGTGCGACCGTACCTGCGCCTCGAGTTCGAGCTGCTGGCGCTCCCGGGCCTTGCGCGCTTCAATGCGCAGAATGTCGACGCGGTTTGGATCTACGCCGCCCCAAGAGACACCCATAAGATCGCTGGTAGAGCTACAACACGCGTACCGTTGGCCGCTTGGAGCGAGCGCGCGACGTCCCAGCGAACGAGAAGCTGGCCGAGGTGGTGGTCGGCGTACAGGACGACGCCCGCGCCGAGGAGAAGGAACCAGCCATACGACTGCACGAATGCGACAGCCTCATCGAGCATATCGAGGTAGAAGAGCGCTGCGCCGGCGGCGCCAAGGACGAGGACCCCACGGGCGCGCAGGAAGGACGCGAGGAGACCTGCCATAGAAGCCACCATATCTTGTCTGCCAAAACCGCTCTTTGGTTCCGCCACATGGTGCCATCTAGGCGACATACATCAACCAAGTGTCGTTTAGTCAAACCGGCTTACGGAATGGTACTCCTACCCGATATAAAAAAACAAATTGGCCTGGTCCCAGCCAATCCCGTACGTGCATTCCGATGGCGTGCCAACGATTGGCTAAAAGTCGGAGCACGCGACCGTCGACCGCATGAGCTCGGCGCGGCTGCCACTCCGCTTCCAATGTCCACTCTGCCTGGAGCTACTATCGTCGCCGGTCCAGCTGCCCTGCTGCAAGAAGCACCTGTGGTACGATAGCCCTTCTCTGCAGGCGGCGTGAGCCCGGCTAGCCTAGGCTGCTTTGACCGGTCGATCGCGATCACCTCCACAAGCTGCGCCTTCTGCCGCAACCGCATCATTGGCTTTGCCCGGCGCAAGACGAACAAGGTCTGTCCTACCGACTCGCATATGCATCAAACCGCTTACTGCATGTAGGTCGACGAAGCGTTCGCGGCCGAAATTCAAGCTCGTACGCAAGGCCTTGACGACATCACATTTGAAGAAGAGACGACGCCGCCAACCGACCAAGTGGGCGCACGCGTCCAGCATCCTGCCTCTCACAACGCCACAACGAAATAGATCCCGGCCAAACCCGGCGAGCTCCACGCCTACTACGAAGAGTGCAAGTTGCAGCGCGCCCAGGCGCTCCAAGCACAGGAGACCGAGGCGCTCGAGAAGACACTTGCGTTCTTGCAGACAGACCCCGAATTTACCGACGTATTACACGTACACGAAGCCGCGCTGTCTACTTTGACGCCACAACCGTCCTCCTCCGTACGTCATTCGCTTGAAACAGGTTCTCTAGGGAGGCATGCTAGAAGCTTTACTCGATCTTCTCGTCGACGCCCCAACGCCGCCCGACCAAGAACGTTCTATCATCCCAGAAAAAAGGCCGAGCAAAACCCAAGGCTGCAGCGGTTCTTGTCTCACTCAAGTCGTGGTCGTGCGATTGCTGTACGTTTGTCAACCGCACCAACCTCAGCACGTGCAGCATGTGCGGATCGCACAAAGCTGCGTCGACCCATTAGCCTAGTCCTAAATATCTCGTAAGCTATTTCAACCACCTGGTATAGTCCCATGTCTGCACCTACCCTCCTATCCTTCTACCCTCCTCCACCGAAAAAATTCGCCTTGGCACGTGGTCGGGGGCCACGGGAATATTTCACTTCTAAATTGCGCAAGTGCTTTTGCTTTTCAAATCGTAGAAGTCTTGCTTCCCATAAGTATATTTTGCCATTGAATAACAACGCTTTTCACCTTGTCAATAGCATACTATCGACAACACGACTAGTCGTAGCACTGCCACGCACTCGCAAACGCAGGTATGGCGCTCAGCGCCCGCACGTCTTGGCTGATTCGCCCGTACGTTGTTGTCGCGGCAGAGTGGCCCAGTTTGGTCTTGAGAAGACGCTGGATGCTTGTGTGATGCTGCCACGTCGCCAGGTCCAGTAGCCGCGGCGTCACCACACAAATATCACAGAGGTCGCGGACCACGTCGTGCAGGCCAAAGTACACGGCCGCATACAGAACGTGGGCTGGCAAATGCGGCAAATGCGTCATCGCTCGCTCGAGGCGATCACGAGCGAGATACGGCCCCACGTGTCTCTGGACGCGTTGGAGGTGTTGCAGCAGCCTCGCCGTCGGCCAGAGCTCCAGCTCGGTTGCCGATGGCGTGCAACTGCGCAGGCACACGAGGTCTCTCGGCAAGCCTTCCTGGAACGAGACGACGACGCGGATCAGGTCGGGATCTCGAATCGGGTTCATTTTCAAACTGCAGTGACGGATTCTTCGCTCGTTTCGGGGTACGGCTCTTGGCATCTTGGATCATAAGATCTTGGTGACGTGATATATATATGTGATGCACGCACAACGCCAGGTGCTCCTTGGTCGATCATGCACACGGCGTGGTGCAGACAAACCCAACGGGCACTGTAGCGAGGCTCAGTGTTTTGAATCAAGACAGACGGTGCTCTGACCAAGGCTTCGAGCCAAATGCGTCGAAACTAAGATGGCTAAGCTTAGCTGCGACCGACTCATAGTTTATAAAACGGCGCACGGCGGCACCACCAACGTTGTATCGAGAGAGATTCAACACTTCGTTTTCCATCGACCATTCGGAAACTTCTCACGGCGACGCCAAACCACCGTACGTTCTCACAAGCACGTGTCCACACGTCCGCCTGCCACGTCATTTATGGCCATCCCAAAATCATGACGAGGCAATGTCAGCGTGCGATTATGTGGGTGTATACCACGTTGTTGACCATGACGCATCGGTCGTCATCGTTGGCAGGAGCAAGATGGAGCTTCTGCTCGCCTCGAGTGCTCTTCCAGCAACCAACGCACGTACTTTGATGCGTCTCAGCGGACGTTGACGCACAAAAATTGAAGAGGCAAATTGGACAAATAGATGGAGAGCAAGATATACTCTACCGCGTGTAGCTGGTGCTGGGCGTCGTGCTCGAGGACGCTGGCGGCGGCGTCGCGCTGCTGTTGTTCCACGATCGCCCGCGGGGCTGGATGTACGGCTGGTACCGTCGCGACGACGCAGACCCGCTGCTCGGCGCATGGAAGGACGAAGAGGATGACGACGACGACGACGCGGGGGCGTTCAACGGCGGGGACGCAAAGTTCTGCCACGAGGGCGCGAGGTCATGGGTGCGCTCGTGCCCGAGGCGCGGATCGCCCACGTCCCAGAGCGACTTTCGTTTCCGCCGTGAGCCAATCGCGTTCATTTCACTCAATAGCCGTGGCCGCTCCGCGCTCGTCGACGGACTCCGCACGCTGTCATCAACTGACGGCGACCTCGACGACTTGGACACGCTCGGAGACGCGACGGGAAGCGGCGCCGGCTCGGGCTCATCTACATGCAAGGAGGGCGGCGCCACAGCTGCCGTCGGGACGGCGACAACGCTTGGTGGTGCTTCGGCGGCCAATGTGTCTACCTTGCACTCGTCAATCGCCTTGTCGTCCTCAACGGACCGCTCGACGATGGGCACGTTCGTAGGCTCAGGCGTCGCTTGCACGGGCGCGGGCTCGATGTCATCTTCCTTGACAAGGCCTTCCTCTTCTTCGTCGTCTTCGGGGTCGGGCTCCTGTGACAAGTGCTGGACCGTGGTTGGCATCGACGGCGTCGATGCTTTCGCAGGCGCGACGCACGGCGCTGGCGGTGTCGGCTCGCTGTCCATGGTCGTGTCGATTTGCGGCGGTGCCACCACGTCGGCGGGTTCCTGTTTCGTTGGGCTCGCCATAGTGTCGATCGTCGGCGATGGCCGCGGATGGTTGTGCTCCCAGCGTGACCGCCACTTCTTGGTCGGCGGTACGAATGGGTTGGTCCGCCACGACTGGCAGTCGCTCTTGTGCATCGTGAGCGCGGTCGACGCGTCGTCGTCGAGCGAGTCGCGCTTCCGGTCCTTCTTGCGACCCTTCTTGCGCTTGGCCTGGCGGTCGCTGCTGCTGTTGTCCGAGTGGTTCATGTTGTCTTCCTCTTTCTTCTGCATCTTCTCAATGGACGCCCATATCTGCGCCGTCTTCCGCTCCTCGCGGCTCATCCGTTGTCGCTGTCGCCCGGCCTGCTGCTGCCTGCCCGAATGATGACGATGTAACGCGAATTGTGGTTGGCCGAAAAGTCCTTCGACCTCCTTCTTTTTATCCATTGACCACCATTAAATCTCAAAGGTATATTTTTATGCCGTCGTGGCCATTGCCATACAAAAACCAAGCTATTTAATAAACAAAAACGTAAAGTTCAGATGCTGGCAAGTGGCGCACGCCATCGTCGTGTGCTCGCATACTGAACTCAAGTACCTTTTGGGAAAGTGTATTTTATTGAATGCCCCCGTAAAGTACGCTTTTCCAGTGGGCATTTTAGTCCTCTTTAGGACTATAAAACCCCTATATAGGCCATAAGCATGCGCACTTGTGCGAGCCGATTTGAATTTGGCGCGCACGACGTGGATCCTGTCGCTCAACCCGAATGTATTCACCTCTGGTCGTCATCGTGGACACACAAAAGGTCCTTGTACAAGATTAAGTACAGCCTTTTTATCTACAGTTACATCAAGAATGTCCAGGCGTGTGGACTCAGGGCGTGACATTGCCGTTGGCGATCCAAAGTTGAAGGTTGCTCTGCAGCAACTGCAGCGTTAGCGTCGTTTCCCTTACGTGGTCGGACGACGCGTCGGGGCTCGTCTCATCAAAATCCATATGCGCGCCGTCCAGAGCGTCTTTGGCGAGGTCATATGCAACCTGAGGCTCTTGGAGCACTTCGTATACAAACACCGAGTAGTTGAGCGCGAGGCCGAGCCGAAACGCGTGGGTTGTCGTCATGCACGTCTTGGCGAGCGCATAGGCTTTCGAGTACGACGACCGGCCACGATCGATGTGCTGGAGGTCGCTGCTGCCACCGCGGAGCTCGGCAAGGTACCGGTGGTAATCGCCTTGCGTCTTGAGAAAGCACACGGTGTCGCAGTCGCTCGACTGCGCGCTCGGAAGAAGGTACTTTTCGAGCAGCGAGAGCATCTCGAGGCAAACGCGCTGGTACTCGAGTTCCAGCTCACGTTCGTACAGCTTTGTGCACTCCCCAAGAGTGTGTTTCGGACTCGATTGGAGGTCAATAGCATGCACGACGCGGACGGCGATCCGGATACGGTCGATGACATGCTTGTATGCGGTTGTCAGGAGGTTGATCTCGGGTGTCGAAAGCGGGAGCGGGTGCGTCGTCACGAGCGTGCGCATGATGTGCACCATGTCGTCGTACCGTTCGGCCTGCTCGGTGAGCTCGGCCAAGACGACCAGTGAGGCGCGGGAGAGGGATCGAAGGCACTGCATGTAGTAAGGGGCGAGAACAACACTGAGCGCGGTTGTTGGGGATGGCAGGACGCGCGTTTATGTTGAGCGCGACGCACTTGGGCTTTGTATCGCGTGATGGTTGCATCAACAGATAGGTCAACAGGCCCGTGGGTGCACAGAGAGTAGTATCGTCTGTCAGTCAGTGTCGACTTTTTGCCGCCTCCCAACGACGGGTGTTCACGTCGACACAACATGGCAGCTGCGATCGACAACGACCGCCAACTGAAGCTAACAAACCAGCAGCTCGGCTAGTGAAACACTCGGCAGAGAGGAGAGGACACAACCCTCAGACATGATGAGGAGAAAAAGCCAAACGACCAATGACGTGGCAAAGGCAGGGAAACCCACCAGAAAACCAACGAAGAGTCCGAGTCAGCAATCTCGACATTTGCAGTTGCGATCTTGACAGAAGCGTCGACTTTGCATCTGAGCTTGAATCCAAACGTGGGCGTGCACGTCGACGCCGATCGGATGGGAATCCTGTGCGTTCTCAAAATATCTTGTACCGTTTTTTGCCGTGCGAAATTCTTGTTGGAGAGTTGGAGAGTTTGGCGCACGGCGCGCTGTGTATTGCTTTTGTGATGTACAGTTTTCGACGCCGTAGAGAACGACGCAGGTGGCAGCACCTTTGTTTGAACCACTCGTGTTCGTGCGTACTAGGTCGACACAACGCGAATCTACCCAAATCTTCGTCGCATGTCATCGATGTGTCATCGATGACGACTTCAGAACGGCATGCCATTGGATGCTCGATGTTTCGACAGTGACGCGATGATTATCCGGATGATCGGCTAGCTTGGCATCCCGTACTGTAGTAGCAGGATGAGCATGCACGCTGGCGAGGAGTTGGGTCTTGTGGTCAACTCTTTGGCTTTGCTATCGTGCATTTATGGCTTGTTTTATGCAGCTGTCCCGTGGTGCCGTGGTCCGCCTTGTCTCGTCGAGGTATCTGGCTGGCATTTCTCTCGATGTCGGTTCATGCGTGGTTGCTCCC